GTGCTCTGAAGTTTCAAGGGCTTTGCACCAACTTTGAACTTTAGAGAATAGCTCAACACCAGCAGATGGCATGGCTTCCTAAATTATCACTGGCTGTGTAAACTTCACATCGGACCCCATGCCACTTGCATTCTGTGCCGCTCCACTCTTCCCTTGGTCTCAAATGTCGATAAAACTGTGAACGCTCAAAAAAGCACAACTTTTAATGAACGTGTGTGGCGGTCCAAATCAATAGCTTGCTTGAAAGCGGTGTTCATCTTTTTCTAATCTTTTATAACCCATAACTGATTCCTCTTTTTGTAAAAGCTGTGACATTGAATTTAAGTGCTTTGAAAGGCTGACCTCTTGTGGTCACAGAAAAAACAAATCAAGGATGAATAGATTGCAAAAAAAAAGAATGAAAATTAATTTAATCTAAACCATCACTTGACCTGATGATAAGCTTATGAAGATAATTATCATTGTCCATATTGTAAAAACATGTTTTTTTTTTGTTTTTTTTATCTTATTTTACCAGACTATTGAAAATACGCTCGCCTCCAGCAAGAGACGCTTCGCTGCGTCCAAGCTGGAGAGGGGAAAGAGGTACATTGTCACCATTTATGCCTTTAGAGGCAGCAAAAGGAGTAAGGTGGTGGAGACCTTCTTCAAAACAGGTCAGCATTCTTCAACTAAAAACAACTTTCTGCTATTTGTCATTGTATTCTATTTTTTAATATGACTTTCCTTCCCTTTGTTGTTATTAGTTGCTCTGCTGTACCCCTTCCCTATGGACTGTGGACAAATAATGAAGAACGGCAATAAAAACAATGGTGTCTATACTGTCTACATTAATAATAACCAATCCAAGCCAATACAGGTTTACTGTGACATGACCACCGACGGAGGCGGTTGGCTGGTATATTATTTTTGACTGACTTCTCAAATTATGTAGAATTTGTATTATATAATGCAGTTCTGTGAAAAAGCAAACTTCTGTTCTTGCCTTTTTGTCACACTTAAAGGTTTCAAACCATCAGGCTATTTTTTTATTAGACAAAGATAAGGTGAGTAAATAGGATAGGTATTAGAACCAACATTTTGTTGAATTTCACTTGCAAAAGTAACTTAGATCAAACGAGCCTGATAACAAGAATTTGGCTGAAAGCATCTCAGAAGCAACACATCCACAACTTTTCCAGCAGATTACAAAGGAACCCAGAGCAACACCAAGGTCAGAGCAGGAGGTGAGGCGTCCAAGATTTAACCTTTGACCCCACAACCTTTTTTTTTTTTTTTACCCTGTGCGGTTTTTGTGGGTCCCCTTTGTATGTGTGTGTGTGTGTGTGTGTGTGGCTTTGGAAACTAACAGTCTGACAGGACATCCTCCCTGCTTCACCGTTGTCCAACCATGAAATTTGCCACACTCCTCCTGAGAGTCGTGCTGAGACCATGGGAGTGTTAAGACAGAGCATAACACATAAACCGTAGCTCATCAAACAGAACAGAAAGGCCTGTCTCATAAACTGCATAAATCATCTTGATGAGCCATAAGACTTTCAGGAAAATATTTTGTGGACTGGACTGGAATGGAAGGTGTTCAATTCATTATGTTTGGCAACGCTACATATAACGCCTACATTCAAAAATGATGGTGGTAGTTTGATGAACTGGATCTGCTTTTCCTTGATCTAAACCTTTAAGTGTGACAAAAAGAATACAAAAACCAATAAAACATGTAAACGGGCAAATACTTCTTCACCACTTTCCAATACATAAAAATATCGACAAGTTTTACGCCTATTTGAACATGAACTTCTTTTTACATATTTCTAATCCAACATCTGTAAGTAAAAATTCGTTCCTGATGCTTTCAGGTACTTCAGCGGCGTAACACTGGGAATCTGGACTTCATGAGACGCTGGCGGCAGTACATAGCAGGCTTTGGCAACCTGACAGAGGAGTTCTGGATTGGTGAGCGACTTGGTGTTCCTGTTTTGTGGGGTAGAGCTCTATCTGCAGACTATAAAACGCGCTCATATGAGCTGTAATTGTGCATCATGTACTCCCTTCGATTTCTGCATCTGTTTATTCGCTGTCACAGGTTTGGATAAGATACACGAGCTAACCAACACTCCCACGCAGTATGAGATCAGGTTCGACTTGGGCCTGGGCTCAGATAGAGCGTACGCCGTTTACGACAACTTTAAGATCGCTCCGGTCAGACAGAGATTCAAGCTCACCATTGGCAAATACAGAGGGACAGCAGGTGGGTCTCGGCATGTAAAAGTCTGTGTATGTGAGAGCTGGAAGCACTGCTTTCATAAATTATAATTTCTTTTTAACACCCACATACAGTGATGCATACTGAGAATGTGATGGCAGATTTAGAAACAAGACAGATGGGGGCAGTAATTGAGGGGTTTGAAACCCTGTGCACACCAACCATTATGTAAACACACTTTAGCAACGTGTGAGATTTTTGCTTCAAAAGGTTACAGTAAGCCAGACAGAATATTTAAAGAGAAAGGGTTTGTTTTTTGTTTTTTTTAAACATGCAGTAGTCAAATCCAGAAACACAAAATGAGACACAGTGTGCATATAACCCAGAGTTTGCTGAGGCAGCGTCTACCTGAGTCCTCTCTACTTTTATAAATCCCTCTGCTTCTAAACACATGACTCAGAATACCTGGGCAGATGAGTACAAGCCAATACGAAGTATTTACAGAAATCTTGTTTTTATTGATGACTTCCAGGTGACGCCATGACCTACCATCAAGGCCGGCCCTGGACCACCATGGACTCGGATAATGATCTTGCGTTGACTAACTGTGCCAGGACCCACAAAGGAGCTTGGTGGTATGCAAACTGTCACTTGGCCAACCTTAATGGTAAATGGGGAGACAACGCACACAGTGTGGTGAGTGAACAAGGAGGACACTTTGCCTTTATTACCTGGCTTGCTGAATGCTTTTCAAAATGAGTCTGGCCGACGAGTCAGGTCGGTGCTCAGTATGCCTCGGTGAAGTAAATGTACATAGTTGCAAGATTAATGTAGCATTTCTTTGCAAAAACAGCATTTAGGTAGAAGTGGTCACACTATTAAAGGGGAAGAAATTACTTTTTTTTTTCTTTTTTTTTGGTAATTTTAGATGAGGTTTTAGAACACAATACACTTTTTTAAGTCTGATTTCGTCACCTTGCTATTTTCCTTTGCCTTATTTTTAATTTCTAATTATTTTTGAACCCCTTTCATTCCATTTATTATGTTCTTGAGTACATTAGCTGTCAGTCAAAGTCAGACTAAAGCAACATCACCAATTCCCAGAAATATTAGTAATTGTAACAGTAAATAATGTTATTAAATGTTATTGAAAATCTTGTTGAGAGTTTTAAAGGTTTTACAATTTCCTGTTATTCAAATCTTCTTTTACAATTATTTGCACCCTCCCCAGTAAAGATTTACTAAAGGTCCTAAAATAACCCTTCTTTTGCTTAAGCATAAACTCATAATGCATTTTTAGAAAACAATTCTACTTTTAATTTTAGTGCATTTAATCAGAGGGATTATCTGGTATCTTATAAGCATTCTTTGTCAACGGAACTTCATATATCCTGACCAACATGCAGCATGTGGAAGATTTATTAACTCTCCATCTTTGCACGCACAATATTTTTGTTGCGATTTTATGCTACTGGAATATTAAAAAAAAACATATTTGATTACTTATTTGATTACTTTTTTACATATCTTCACATCTTCATTAGGAGAGGCGATAACCACTGGGAGAACTGCATATTTCTGGTCATTTTCTACAGAAGAATTACATTTTACATGCAACTTTTGCCACAAAAATATCTGTTTCCTCTGCTGCACTTTCTAAAAGTATACCGTAACACAACTATTAGAAAACATATCATGGTTATGTAGGATCTCTTACAGCTATGCTTAATTAAAGACATAAGGAAATTACTCAGAATGAGGATATTTCTTTAGAAATTAGGACAACTTGCTCCCAGCCCTTTACTTACTGCTTGGTTTCTGTAATGCTGGGGAACAGCCAAAATGACTAAAATCCATCATCCAACGATAAGAAAACACATTTCAAGAGCCAGCTGTAAACCAGTAGTGTGTGTCGGTAGTCTGATAGGCAAAAAAAAAAAAAAAAAACAGCAGTTATTATGTCTTAGAGAGACGGACACTTCAGAAAAAGCCAGGGGATTTCTCTGCTCTTGTCAAGTTTCTATTCGTAGCATTTTTGCTGCAGATCTCAACTTCAGTGTTTGCTGCCAAAATGCAATAACAGTCAAAACAGGTTTGTACTCACATAATATGGACCCTGAGGCCGGTATTTATTACTTTCTTTTATTCTGCTTGTCTGTCATGCCACTTTCTTTTTCTGTGGCCCTGAATCTGTCTCTACCTTGCCTTCTTCACAATTCTGTTACCTCTCTCACCCCCCTCTACTCACTGTGCTCCTGATTTGCTGTTTTGCTGTTAGGGAGTCAACTGGGAGCCATGGAAAGGACATCTAACATCCCTGGACTTCACAGAGATGAAGATCCGACCGGTGGGAGCGTTGTCCAGCAGAAAGAGGCGATCGCTGATGGCCAGAGAGGGAAAAAGTAGAGTCTCAAACGGCTACAACAAATAGGAAAGCGGCCAAAAACTGCAACAGAAGCAGTCGGCACCATCAACCTTTGATCACACTAGATTTTGGTGTTTCTGTACAAATGTAGATAGACCACACAAGGATTTTGCAGACGTGTGCTTCAAATATTGTATAATTTTTGGAGAAGGATGAGCATAACCAAAGCAACCAAAAATAACCCGCAGTAACTTTGATTTTGTTTGTAAACAAATCAGAAAGCCCCGGTTTAGTGTGATTGTGGGGGAAAAAAATGGTCAACAAGAAACTCGGTTGAATGAAGTCGCATGCTACGTGGAAGAACATGCATTTGTAGACAATCATGTCTTGCTGTTTTTTTAGACAACCTGACTAAAAACCTGAAAAAAATATAATGCCAAATAAAGTTTTTCTTTTATCTCCTATTATTATATTAATCTTAACCCTGTTTTAGAGTCATAGCTACGTTCCAATTTGAATTACATCCTCTGGGATATAATTCAAATATCCAGCATCCAAATAAGCAGCGTTGCTTGTGTGTTTAATGAATGGCTCATTTGTCAGCTGCTGAAGCATGTGCCCTTACTCTATTGATTATGCTGCCACTGTGCATCCAACACTGTCACATCACATAAGGCGGTATGACACAGGCCAGAAAATAACAACTGATTGCAGCCTCGAAAATCCAAATTGCTCCTGCTTTACATTCATATGACGGGGGACAGCTCGTATCAATCAATGTGACGTGTCCCCATCAAACGTCAATAACAATGACATTTGTTTGTGCCGCTCTCGAAAACCGAATGACCAAACTCCCGTTTTTAATCTGGAAAGCTGACATATGCTATTAATGTTGCGCTGGCTCCTACTCTGCTTAATTAGATTTTCTTAACACTTTTATCACAAACACAGTTTATGTGACAAGGACGTAGAGCACATCAATCAGCTTTTCAGCCAATCTGCCAGAATGGATTTGAAGTTGGTGAACTTTATAGGATTTTTTTTTTTTTTTTTATGCTGCAAAGCTTTTCATTTTAAAATTTTGTAACTAATTAGAATTATTGAACATTTTCAAACCAGATCCTGATTAATAATATTTTCCTTACTAATTATGTTTTCAAACTGACATTATTAATTCTTTTTCACTGTAGTGTCACAAAATAAATCTGTTTTAATGAGTCCCTTGACCTTTTTTTTTCATGTTTTTTTAGTCTTATGTTGTGTGGTGTAGTTACAGCTCCTCTGTAAGGTTTGGATGTGGGGCAAAGGCTCAGGAGTAGTCCTAGAAGAAACTAGTTAGCACAGCTTTGATTCATTTTTCGCTTCTTATCTCCAGTGAGCTGTGTGTGTGTGTGTTTTAAATCGGAGATGGATCCATTTGTCATTATTTTATTTTGCTGTGGGACAAATCCAAACCCTTGGAAAGCTCTGTTTTTTGTTTTGTTTTTTTTTTTTTTTTATGCCAAGGATCACAACTGTAACTGCTGTCTAACTATAGAAGTGCAATCCACTCTGCGTTATCCATACTCTCAACTAAATAACTGGCTAAGTTAAACACATCCAGCTGTCGGTTAGTTGCATTCAGCAAACGGGTAAATCTTTACCATCAACTGTCCTGAACAGATTCACTGAAGAAATATTGAGCGCGGCGGTCGATAAATGGTTGCTCAAAAAGTCTATTTTTACGGTGCCAATAAACTGGCTACACCCTCATGCTCAGGGGATTTAGACCATAATCTTGACAAGGGCACCAAAGCTCCGACATGGACACTGGTCAGAAGCACAAAGTTTTAAGGTTCACGGTCGTTTTAAGTGCGGTTTGATCTTCTAAATTGCGTAATTGTGTAAACCACTTTTTAGTTGATTGCCTTTAAATATAGAACCACAGTTTCCAAAGTACAGCGCGCTTTCATCATAGAGGAGTTAAGTAACTCCCCTTGCTGGAACTGATGACTGTTCGCCGTCTGGTCTCGAAACTATTTCTCAGTTCTCTATCACATAATCTACCAACAGTGAGAGAGCATTGGCTGGCTTAGCAAGAACCACCTTACATAGCTGAAGGATACAAGAAGCACACCAAACTGATTAAAGACAAAAAGATTTAGACAAAAGATTTGACTTGATGAAACAAGACATGAGTTTTGCAGCGTTGTTCCAAAAACAACAGCCAAAGTAGAATGCAAAAGGATAATGTTGTTTACGGTTCGCTCATCAGAATCCATCAGACTCCGAGGAGGCAGATGCATAAAATGTGACAACCGTTTTTGCCGTTGTATTTTATTTCAGCTTGGGGATGAAATGTCTCACAAGGGCTCAGTGATGCAAGTGGCCGTCTGAGACAGTGGCAGCAAATTACTTTAAGGAGATTGGTTTCTACCATTGCTTTAAGAGGTGAGTGCTTTGCTCAGTGCAAGAACAAACAGAAAGTGGGAAGAGCTGGCCGATTTCCTCTTCTCTCCTTCCCCATTTCTGTGCGTCTAAATTTATACAGAGGACAATATGAGTTTGCCAACATGCATGTGCCTTTTGTCTGTCTGTGCCATTCGGGTCAACACTTCCCTCAAGGTTAATTTTGACGTGTTTTGCAAGAACTTGGTTAGGAAACAAAGGGGTATTTTAAAATGTGGTCTGTGGTGTGGAGAAAAAAAAAGAACTACATAAGAGAGAGGTTTAAGTCTAACTCATTAAATTTCATTAAGCGTTTTACGTAGAGTTTAGATCATAAAAGAATGAACTGTGCCTCGGCAAGAGATCTGTTTGACCCCAATTTCACAGATGATTCCTCCAGGCCTAGTAAGCATTCTGCATGTTGGCAGTAAATGATCCCCATTGGCTTCTATTTTAGTATCGCTCATCAACATTGACATGAATTATCAGGTCAGATCGCTCTAACAGGTCATTTCTTACCAATTGCTTTGGTTCAAAATTTTTTGGGTCAAAAACTGCTCCTCTCACACAACCTTGGCAACAGCACCACCTTGGATGATCTGCCATCTGGCTGTTCAGAAATGCACTGTGGTGAACCCCACCCTGATTGGGTCTGTAATGTGACCTAATCACAGCTCAATTCTGAGGTTTGATGTCATTTAGCGGTGAATCACCTGATTCATCTACTCTTTGCTGAATCAGGCAGAGACTTGTGCTTCTATTACAAAATAATATTTTTCATTTTGTTTGACCATGCAGAATTTTACTTGTTTGGGATTAAGCTACAATTTGTAACTTTTGACAAAATATATATATATTTGTACATATTTGTTGAAACTGTCACTATATCGCAACAGTATGGTATGGAATAGATAATCTGTGAAAAAAAATTACACTCTTCCTTTTCCCAGAGCTCCCTGGAAACAACCAATCAGAACTGGAAGGCGGGTCTTAGCACTGTCAATCATCCTCCACGTAGTGCTGTTCTTTTATCCCCTTCCTCCACTTGCTTCAACTAGCATTGCCTGTTGCGAATGTTCAGGCTAGCTAGCATGGCCCCAAATGACAGCCGATGAACAGTTTTCCTGGAACAGTAAGTTGTTTCTCCGCCATTAGCACATTGAGCAACGAGTACATGAGGATGAATGACAGCGCTAAGACCCTCCTCCCGGCTCAGATTGGTTGTTTTTGGTGGGGCGGGTGCATTTCTTCAGATTGCCATAGCAGCTCAGGGAGGAGGTGGAGGAGATTCATCTTGTCACGGATTATCTGTCTCAAACTATTCTGTCATGACATGATGACAGCTTTAACAAATATGTAAAAAAAAAAAAAAAAAATTACATAAACTATTTGCTGCTCATTGCCTGTTCTTCATAAACCTCTAATGAAAGATACGTAATTTTAAATGATTTTTCAAAAACTGGATGAAGATATAAAATCGACTAGATTGAAGGGTTTTTTAAAAAAAAGAACAAAGACACCTAAGTTGACATTGACATCATCTTATCCAGGATCCAACTTATATTTGGTTCATCAAATGTTTTGCCAAACAGGTCAATAAAATAACTGAGTGTGTAACCTAATTTTAAGAATGACAACAGTATGAAGCAGCAGAAGCCTGCAAGAAGGAAATTTTTCACTTTTGGCAATTAGGTAATTGCTATGTGTTTTATGAAGAATTCCTGTTTGGACATCCTTTAGAGCAAAACTAGCTTTGAAAGAGAAGTTATTAAAAATGGTGCATTCGATCCACTGGATGCCCCCAACTCCTTGTCACTTTGAAGGTAAAAAAAATACCATTAAGATATAAAATTATACTATTGAGAACAGAGAAATAAATTAATGTCTTAAATTTTGTTTCAGGTGTTGTTTCTAGTGACGACAGCAAATATCCACAACAGATCCGTAAGCAACATACCCGATTTGTTCAAAGGAGCAGTTCACTTCCTGCTTGCAGCAAAAACCGGCATCCTGCAAAACAGAGTTATATTTTATAAGAATAACCAGGCAGAGCTGTTAAGTAATCAAATTTTAGTTTTGATTATTGCTGTGAATGTTAGGAAATCTTCACTTGGTAAAAATGATCTTGAGCTTTACTTTCCATGACATACATAGATCTATTTTTTTCTTAATATTGTCTAAGCTGTCAGTATGGAGACATCAGCGTAGACCCAACCACGACTGCTTTGTGTTCAAACTTTAATATCCCGCTCCTTAGGGTTGAGCAGAAACTGAGAAAATTATATTTCTTCCTGTCTGCTTCCACTTCGTGCTGGATCGTTGTACAAGCCTCGATAAATTATGGATTCAGAACAACAATAAAATCTACCCAAGTGTATAATTAAAAGAAAACCAATAAAGTCAGCATTGTTTAAACAAACAAACAAAACATGTCTTGCGTGTTTAGACTGGACGAAAACATGTCAAAACTCATTAGCCCTCAGAAAATTAAACGGACATTCTTAGCAGATAATGACATAAAACCATCTTTATAGGTCCATTTTGTCTGATCAAGTGAAAAAGAAAAGAACATTTAACGGTGATTCATTTTATATCTCTTCCCTCATTGTTATTTGCAGGTGATGCTATAAATGTGACCTGTAAACTTTAATGGACATTCATTTCAGAGGGACTTTAAAAATACACAATCATAAGCAGACACTTGTGATAGGTTGCAACTTAAATGGAATATGTATAACAAGTAAAACTATTGCTATTCATGTATGAATAACTTGAGACGCAAACATTTATGGCATTTGGCTTTGTTATTGCCTGTAACTGAATACTGACGTGAAATAAGCCGTGTGCAAACAGAAAAGATAGAAAAAAAGACGTTGCTCTGATATCGACACTAATACAGGAAACAGAACAGCTTGTCTGTGATCATCGCAAGTCTGCCTCAAAAAGTCTCCCACGGTAAGGATGCAAATCATGCAAACTGACTCTGCAAACTTCAAACACATTTTCTCTGACAAACACAAACTAAAGATGCCGTATGCACTGATTTTCACTGGACATTATACATTCGTACTAAGGATTAAATTAATTCATTTATTTTTTTACAGGATTTTTGTATACAGCAAAAATTAAGCAGAAGAGACATCTCTGCTCTCCACATGGGATATTGTCTGTGTGAGCTGTAATGAGAGGAGCCGGCCTCCAACTTGGTGTCAGAGTAAGCTAATGAATAAAGATGACGCTGCAGACAGACTTCTGCTTAATTAGCCTTTGAAGAAGTTGCTACAATAATTAAAAAAACAAAAAATTGTGGCAAAATCTTATACAATTTCAATAAAGTTTAAATTTTCTGTATTTCAGAAATGTAACAAAAAAAAAAAACTTGTTTACTTTACATGTTTGTCTATATATAAACACACAAGAGTTGAGGGAACTCGGGATAGTAGTAAAACAAAAGATTGCTTAGCAATTTTAATAAAACTATATTCTGAATGTCCATATATACATAACAGACATAACTGTGGTCATAATGCCTAGTAGCTGTCTAAATTCCAAAGTGCTTCTGTAAGGTTTTCTATGCAAGAGCAACTGTTTTATCTGTATAGTGCCCTTAACCTGACATCAAACTCAATTATTATTTTTTTTTATTTCATTTCTGCACTGAAGGCAGTGTCTTGCATTTGCAGACGTTAAGTTGCAGTGCACTGAAACGCACAGCATCGATCAAAAACCCAAACTGGTGATTAATTATTTTTCTATATCTTGACATATTAGCTTGAAATGACATTTTACTTTTCCAGAGCTTCAAATCCAAAAAGAGCCATAATACACACACTGTATATAGTGAGTTTCTAAAAGCAAATTATTTCAATTTGTTTTCTTGCATAACAAACTGCCTCTATTCTTCATCTTCCGTTAATGTGAGAACCCTAATGATTCCAACGTATGGACAAACATATCTTTTATTAAACAATACTCAATTGTTTTTAAAAAGTAATAAAATAAGGGCTCATTTGGGATATCTCTGCTGTTTTTCTCAGTCTGCACTCTGAAAAGTGGGTGCTAGTACAGCTGTTTGAGCAGTGAGCCGACTTTTCCTTTGCTCCCTCTCCCAAATATGGATGCATTGAATTTCACATGGGAGCTCTAAGAACTAAGTTCTCCCAATAACTCTACGCCTCTCTACCTGACACACACACGCTGCACAGACACACTTGCATTCATATATTTTTTTTTTTTTTCAGTCTGCATATTTCTTTTTTATGTACCACGCACTAAAAAAAGCTCATAAAAATGTTGTAAACACTGTCATAAAACCAGAACACACAGCATCATGTGAATACAAAGTGACAAGTATTTATATACAAAAACAAACTCGTCTCAGCCGTGTGTATGCCCACGACAATATGAAGTTCTTTTTATTTGAACGATATCCACATCCCAAACAAGTCTGAGTTTTCAACTACTGATCGGCACCAGTGCGGTAATCCTGAACAGACGTAATCCTCACACCATTCCCATAGCGACCCGATCAGGAGTCGTCGGTCCAGTCTTTACGGATATCCACAAGTCCTCGCTGTTGGAGGAACTCTTTTTCTTTTTCCCTGCCGACCTCGAAGAGCCTCCACAGCAGCAGCAGCAGCAGCTGCCATCATGGCGACAGCAGCAGCAGTGGCAGCACACCACCACAGCGGTGAGGATGACCAGCAGAGGAAGCGTCAGCAGGATGACCAGGCAGACGGTGTTGTAGACCCCCTGGTTGTGTTTGTCCACAGCCAAGGTCCACAGCCAGCTGAAAAAATCCTGGACACTCTGAAACTTCCCTTCCATAACGTTTGGCCTGCGGAGCTCAGTTGCTTGAGTCGGACTCCCAGAAACGTTTTAATAAGCTTTACAGAGACTTAGAGGTCTATACTGCGATAAAAAAGAAACTCTGCCAGCACACCGAAATAACCGACTTGCGCCACTCATCCGAGTGAGTAGCTTCAACATTAAAAGCTGATTGATATCTCATGTAGCTCTCTGAGCACAAGTCAGTTCATCAGCCATCAGCACAAAGATTTCCAGTGACTTGACAATGAACTTCACATGCTCCTCATTCTTCGTGAAGATCCCAGATGAGATAGTTACCCCGAGGCACTGCTCTATGTGACGAATCTGTCCAAACTTGTGCTGTTCTGTTCCTCTTTGGACGTTCACCTTACGGATGCTGTTAGAACGCGTCTGTTTTGCTCTTATAAGGACCAAAACACTGCTTGCTTGTAGGAGTGTCTTTTCTTGAAATTGCCTTGTTGTTGTGATTTAATCTGGAGGGGGGGTAAAAAAAAAATCTTAAGCTGAGTTTGTTTATGCAGGTCAGCATTCCTCTAATTGTTTTCTCAAGCCCTCTTGCCCTTTAGCTTGCGGTTTCGTTTTGTCACGCTGCTGAATTGTTGAGGCTGTGAAACAAACAGAAGAAAAGTCAAATTAACACAGACAGAAATTTGCTTTCAGGCAGACGGGGCTTATCTTTCTACCCTCTTTGGCTCTCCCTGACTCCAATCCATCTTTCTGCCTTGAAACATCTCCACTCCTGCTCCCCTTCCTCTTGTCAATGTCAGCTTAGAATATCGTTTTTTCTGTTCAGCTTTTCTTTCATTAAATTTGCAGAGAAGTCATTCAGGATTCAGGACAGATCCCTTCAAGGGTCCCGCTGAGAGAAGACGGAGGCAAGGCGGAAAAAAGGGAGGACAAAATCGAGGGGAGATTGCGTCTGAAGGAAGGCGAGAGGGAGACAGAGGTAACCAATCTTCCAAAGAGTCCCGCTGAGATGGAGAGTGTGACAGAGTGTCAGAGGAAACTAGGAAAGAGAGGGCAGAAAGGCCAGAGTGAGACTTGTTAAAGTAGACTTTTCTGGACGTATAGTGCTGTAAAATTGTTTTGCTTTGTTACAGATTTCTTGTTTGACCTTTTTTTTTTGTCTCACAAGTATTTAAAATACCCTCCAATTTATGATTATGCTTAATCAAAGAAAAAAATTATAATTTCCCTATATAAACATATATTTGCTTATGTTTAAAAGTGTGATTTAACACGTTTGATTGGTTCAGATTCACTGGCCAAACTGCGGTCTGATTACTGTAAAAGCTGTAAAATCAAGAAATCACTTAAACCAAACCAGTCTGTTTGAAGCATGAGGTGACAAAACATCCCAAAAAGAAAGATGTGATGTCCTGGTCCATCCAAATGCAACATCAGATGAGAAACATCTACTAACACCAAAAGTGGGGAACTTTCCTGAGATAAAGTTTGTTCTAGTACAAGACAAAAGAGAAGAGACAAAACTTTTACAAGCCAGAAATGGAAAATTTTGGAAAAAAAAAAAAACAAACAAACAAACATGACCTGAGAAAAAGAGCATCTAATCAAAACCCAGAGATGGTGTTTGATGGTCTGAGGTTGATCTTCTACTTAAGGACTTGGACAACTTGGAAGTGGAACCTTTTCTTTTTTTTTCTCTTGCTAGCACCAAATCTTGTTGAAGAATATCAGGTCTGTGATCTTATACTAAGGTATTAAGCAGGATCACAACTCAAAGCACACCAGCATGTCCATTCCAAAATCTTTGACTAGTCAAGTTTATTTGTATAGCACATTTCCACGTCAAACCTCCTAATGAAAAATCATCAAGCAAATACACATGAAGTACGTTGATTGATGTTTCACTTACTAATCAAAGGCAACTCTAAATTAAGGCTTAAAACTCATCTACTTAAAATCTGTACTTACTGTTAATTTGATTTAGATAATGTGGCTTCATCACATAAGACATTCATTTTTAAGAACCGACCTGTCCGGCTGAATTAAAACAATTTGGCAACACAGAGTGGTCTGAAATTTCTTCACAAAAAAAGACTCTCTGCCAGTCATTGCAAATGAGTGACGGACGTTGTTTCTGCAAAGAGCTTCACAACTACGTATTAAGTTTAGGGGGGGATTTTTTTTTTTTCCACACAGGTTTGGATGTCTTTTTTTCCCCCCCGTAAAACATTTAATTAAACTTCCAAAGCCTAATTTTTAGCTTTAATCAGAATATCACTGACTGACTTTAAAACTCATCTGATGATCCGAAACGTTTGCTTTAAATGTGAACAAAAAGGCAGAATAAATCTGCGAAGGAGTGAGTTCTTTTCCTCAACCGTACAACACTAATGGCTCCCGTCGCAGCGGAGGAGTGAAATCTGCCCTCGAAACACGTTGCTTCCATTTGACCTGTTTAACTTATTAAGCAGCTCTTCAAAAAAGAACTTTCTGCTTCGGATGTGCAAAATTAAACTCGGCACAGAAACCAAACTGCTCCTCTTTGTAATGAAACGGTTTGAGTCTGAACCCCTTGAGGCAACATCTTTTGTTTAAATTGTTTTTTTTAAGTAGTTTCAAACACCATTTCACTCAAGTGTTCTCTTTTAGATGCTCCGTCGCTTTCAATACTATTTGCATTCTGGCTGCAGGAAGGGCAGAAGATTTTCACCTCACATTACCTTGCTCCTGATAGAGAGAGAGAGAGAGAGAGAGAGAGAGAGGCGATGATGCACCTGCAAGAGGAGAGCAAATAGATTTGGCTTTGCTGTCAACGTGCATTACGCCTCATGTGTGAAATACGTTTATCCGCAGAGAGCCACTAACCTTCCCCCACAAACCCGAGTTCATGTGCTCAACAGGAAGTCGCTCACTTAAAGTGTCTAAATACACAAGCGGAGATCTCAAGAAAAGACAATAGTTGGGTTGCAGTTATTTTGGAGCGTCATCTTATTTAGAATCAAACAAACACATTTCTAAGTATTTCATAATATCACATGAATGTGCACATGTGATATTATGTGCACATTCATGTTTGCCATCAAATTAGGTTTGTGTGTCTAGATGAGTGCACTGACTGAAAAAGGGGCGAGTTCCCCTTTAAGGAACTTTGACACAAAGGCAACATGTGACTTGGATTCCCATATCATTATTAGCAGTGGAAAATTATAATTTACTCTCAAGAAAACTGGATTCAGACTATCACACTTCATCCAGATTCTTGTACCTTGACTTCCAAATTTGAGACAAAACTTAGTTTCACCCTTTAAAAAAAAGCCTCGTGATCAACTCGTCTTTCATTTTGCCAGAGTTTCAAATCACATTGGTGTGAAAGTTTAACGAGAATCCATAAGTTTGGATCAAAAGCGTCCTTTAGGATTGTATTTCTCTTTGTTTTCCCATCAGTTTATCCAGCCATATTCATCTTCTGTTGCCATGGTTAAATCGATGTATAATTTCACAACTAAAAGTAATTCACAGCTCACACACAGTTTCACCATTTCTGAGAAATACATCAGAAAAACCAAATCAGCACTTCCTTTTAACGTATTATGCTGACACCTAATTTCCACAGACTTAAATTACTGTACTATAAACCTTAAACTAAGAACCTATGTCATTCTGGAATTTTTTTGTCTTATGAACTCAACTTACTAATAACAGCAGTGGATGGGAAGAAGAAAAAAAAAAAAGAAAAAAAACTTGTGCTAATTCTGGACGTATAAAATTCCCTACACGTGGGTGCTGCTGTTGTCTTTGCTTCATCTTTTAAGATAATTGGCTGCTGGTACATGTTGTGATGGGTCTTATAGAACTGCAGCACATTTGTGTGCATTGAACCTTACTCACATTAAAAACATGACAAGTCAAATTCACAGAGCCGTGTGTTCGTGGGAGAGACGAAGCCACAAATTAGGGGAGGTGTTGGTTTAGTCTGGTCACGTAACAAAGACAGCAAATAATGAATCATTGGGTAAAGTCAGAGAATGGAATGAATAAGTCTTCAGTTCTTTACCAGAAAAAAAAAAAAAAGATCACTACACCAACGCTGTTAGGACAATCAGAAGATTAAAAGAAAACCGATAGTTCAATCTGAACCTACTTTTTCAATTTGTTTCTACGACAAGATAACAATCGTTGTGCTGTATACACAGTTAGACTTTTTATTTTAAAACTGCTTACATTGTTTCATGCTTGGACTTAGATAACCAAGGCCACTGGCAGTGAGAATGACAGTCTTATCCGAGGTTTTATTTTGTGACGTTATGGAAGCACAAATTTAAGCAAAACATTCAGACTTGAAAGTCAACTCTGGCCTTTAACCATATCACATCATGTCTTTCCAGTTATCTTGCCAAGATGCCTTTCTTGACTTTAAGTGGCCTCTTCACTTTCTCATGACACCGTGCTCTCCTTGAGCAACTGATACACAGGAAAAGATCATTTCTGAGGCACACAAAGCCAGGAAGGGGCTGAGAAGAATGTTTTGATTGCACCGAAATGGCCCTCCGCTGCTTTTTAGGGAGCATGTGTGACCTACAAGGCAGAGCAGCAACAGAAGGCATCGCAGGAATCTTTAATGATTTGCCCTTGAGCACACAGTCAGAGCAGATCCCTCTTTATTCACCATCGATAAGTACGGAGGGCTTGGACATTTTGCTCTTTAATTTAGGAACTGTTCTCACTGTTTGACATTATAGCCAATAAAACCTAGCCTGTTTGCCGTCACATAGGATTACCATAATTCTATATATTACCAATGTAATTGTAATCATTTCTTTCTTTCTTCAAATTTGCCACATTACACATCCTAAAATTACTATATGCTTAAACAAATCAGAAAAGCCAATGACGTGATGGAATGATTTTTATGAGATTCTGAACCTTGTTGCATAGTGTCATTATTCACAAGATCACAAGTCCCGTCTACACTCGGAGAGGAAGAAAACATCACTTCAAAAGCAACATAAAGATTTTGGAGTAATGTCTCCAAAAGACATTAAGGACACCCATCCAACAGAGAAAGAATCAGGGCTGCACGATCACCCCAAAAGGGTGTTTTGCAGGAGGGACAGGTGAGCTTCCCAAAATAGAAGCTCGCCTTTCAAAAGGAAAGAACAACACCTGGGAATATTACAGCAACATTTCTTCTTCAACCAAATCAGTCACAAAGCCTCAAGCCTATAGTGTCACTCATTGTGGTTAAAGTTGAAAAGGTGTGTACAAGCAAGACCGCCTACAAACCTGACTCACACCAGTCCTGTGAGGAGGAGTTGAGTCAAAATTAGTGCAAACTATTTTTAACAGTCCTTCCAAATACTAAAGGACTTCTACATTTGTGGAAAGTAAAAAAAAAAGAAAAAAAAGATGTATCTGGTATTTAGCAACTAGAAATAATTTTAGTAATTCTGCATGAAGATGTTAGTTTGATCTACGCATATTTTTATAAGGTCGACGTATGTGAATGTTTGATTTCAAGTCAACTGCAAAAGAAAGTATTTTGTTCCAGAAGACATGAGTCGACAAAAAAAATAATTATTTTTCTCAGGTATTCTGAAGTAATATTAAGCAGAACCATTACACTTCCGGCTTGCGTGATCTCGATCCTAACTGAGTGAAATGAGTGAGTCTGAGGACATTCGTGAAGTGAGAAGTAAAGGAAGCTGTCATTCTTTGAAATAGCTAAATATACACTCAAGCACTGAAAGTTAAGCATTTCAGTTCAAGCTACACATTATTGGGAGCTTTTGTTTAAAAAGCCCAAAAGGCTCTGTTACTGACATTCTGGAGAATTCAAAGGCAGGAAAAAACTCATCAGCACATTGTTGCAACCTGTCAGACATCCTGCTGTGTCTAACCACAGTCAAAACAACTGTTTTTTTTTTTTTTTTAACGGAGTCTGGAGTTAGATACGTCAGCTTTCTGTAAAGTCGTCTCACAAACTCAAATACATCACTTAGAACTACTTTAGAGAAGCTATGGGCATTCAAGAAGTGCTTAAAAGCAGCATCTTACCCCGCAGATGCTTCTGTGGCAGCAGGTCAGGTCACCCCTCTTGTCTAATCCAGTCAGCTGCTCAGACGTTTGCTCCTTTCAGTTTAGCATCTGGCTTCTGCTGTGTTCTGTTCAGTCCTGGAACCTCTTACCCAAACATCTTGACAAGTCTTCACTTTCTGTTCCTGTTTTGCTCTCTCTCTCTCTACCCGTGTTTTCCGTACTCCTCCTCCTCCCCCTCCTCTTTCTGTGAGTGTGTGTGTTTTGGTCCCTGCCCACTTTGTGTAAGAATGGGCCCTCTGTCTATGGTTATGTTTCCTGCATGGTGCTGGATTCTTGCGGTCGCCATACTTTCCCCACATAACAAGCACGGGGTGACATCAGCCAGAAAGCTTAAGCAAATTCATGACGAATCTTATATTTTCAAGCACAAAAGTTCTCTATGGAAGTAGTTAGAAATAAACTTCCCCTACTGCGTTACATTACCTGACATGAAGACCTTGCAACACCAGGATATGTTGCAGGAAAGGTGGAGACACGTTGCATAATGACAGAACAAGAGTCCACCCATCCCTAATTCCTAAATCGAGAATAAATAAAAAAAGGGAAATGAAAACGGTCATGCTGCTGAGAACAACAGCAGGTGAAAGAGTCGGATGAAAGCAAGATATGAATGTGACATGTCATGTGAAGTGTGTATACGCACAAACCTCGACTTTCTGCCTGTGGCACTGTGGTCAATGCTCTCTCTTAGCTCAGTCAAGCAAAATAGGATTTTGTATTCAAGTAAGAAAGGGACACAGAGGGGTTCATCTCTCCTCCTCTAAGGAAAAGCCTTTGAGCTTTGGTGTTCTGACTTATGAACTGTAAATCTGCTCACATAATGTACAATGTGAGCCTGAGTGAATTCAAAAGCGGCTTTGTGTTAGCCTGTACGGTGTAAAAGTGTTCATGCTGTTTGAATGTTTCCATATTTTGATTGAATTAAAAAGCACAAACTTTAACTTCCATTTGCTTGTGTAAATATTTACGTCTCTGTTCAGATAAGACTTTAACTTTTTGGCATTGATCAATGCACATGCATCGAAATGGTCCATGTCAAAGACTTTCAGCATCTTAAAATGACCAAGTGGAAGTCCAGATCTACATGTATTTGATAATCCTATTGACTTGAGAACTGGTATTTACAGAAACTGCATCTAGTCTGACTGATGCTGTGCTAATTTATAAAAAAAGAATTGTCTGTCTTTTGGAATCCTTACGTGCAAAGCTGGAAAATACATTAAACACACTATGTTAAATGATTTCCATCTGTAACTGCGGAGAAAAATAGTTCTACAGAGTATTAATCTATGGGGGATAAATAAAAAATGTGCTCCATACTTTTGGTATTTAATCTAAATAAAATAAATAAATAAAAGGCATGAAAAACCTGTAACCTTTACCAAAATGCTCCACTTTGTATTGGTGTTTCACATTCAATTCCAGTTACACAAATTAAAGTACATGGCTGCAATGTAACAAAATGGTAAAAAAAAAAAAAAAAAAGCTGCAGACGTTTAAATAGTTTTGCAAGAAGTATCTCCAGGCTATAAAGTTTAACTGTTTACAGTTCCCTTAACAAATGGTTTCTTTGTTTACTTCAAATAAAGTCTGAAGCATGATCACAGCACAGCTGCAACCGTGCGATAATGTACTGTCTGCAGCACTTCATCTGATAAACAACAAAAATAAATAAATACACACATAGCTTACTTCCTGATCAACTGAGTGAACTTTCAGTGTGTTCCTCTGTGTCTGCAGGGCATGGTTTCAAGAGATTTGATGAGGCAAGTCTCACCACATCTTGCAGGTGTGCCTGACTCTCAGCCATTCACACACACACACACACACACACGCACACACAGTAATGCGCAGTACGAGCCCAGAGGGTGCTGCCTGACTGGCAGTGTGTTCACAGTGAAACTAGGCCCAGCCCAACAGCTGTTAAGGCTTGAGTGTGTCCAGTCATATCGAGAAAGAGTTGATTAATGGCCTCGGCAGAGCAACACTTCCCCTGATGGAAATTCTTTATATGAAAATCATTTAGACGTGTAGATCCCATTTCCAGCTTCGGAAACCAGTGCGCTGAAGTCATCCTGTATGCATGGATAGACATTTAATCTGGTAAAGATAGTTGAATGTTTGATTCTGAAAGTTCTGGATGTTAGATGCTACTCGGTTGCTCTCGGCAGTAAGAATGAGCAACTGGATAAGTGTTATCCAGTTACTCATGGGGGATATAGTTTACAATATTTTACCATTTCTTTGATAGAAACAGTATTACTCTTATAAAATAAGCTCTCCATACATTTTCCTACTTTCCGGAACACTGCATTCTCAATTTTTACTGCACTGACCTCTTGTATATGTCCCATTTCCTCTGTGAAACCTTACTCTCACTTCATACTGCTTTGACCTGGCGCTATAATGGGTGTAGCTGCCATCTGGTTTTCCACAGTGGATCTCACCTAGGAGGGAAAAGCTCAAATAATACATCCTTTTATCCAACACAGGTCTATGGCTGAACAAATTACAGGAAAGACCACTGAGCTTATGTTGGATCACTGGTCAGACAAGCACAATAGCAAAGGCAAAAAGTAGCTGTGACATTACCAGGAGCATTAACTAAAGGCTTATGAAATTACTGGGCCATGTAAGAGAGCAGTACCGATCACAGCGACCGTCTGGCTCTGACAACACACTAACTTGAGCCAGAAAGGATCCAACAGTGAGTGCTTCTGTGAGTTCTTGTATGTGAGTGCTAATGAAAAGTGACTAAAATGAGGTTGTAGTGGGATCTGACAAGTGTCCAGGAATGGCTCGGCCAATAAAGTCTCCTCAGGGACAGACCTGACGAGTGACTTAGCCGTGCAAAATGTTTGAATCCAGGTAACACGGTGGGAAAACGCATGTTTTCACTTTATAAGGAATTACTTCTTGTGCTGCATAATCCAGCTATTAGTTGCTATGTCAACTGAAGGTTTTCACAAGGGGTTCCTTGTTGCACATGAAGTCAGACTGCTATTTAAGCATTTTATTACATAAGAATCCCAGCATAGTTCTCACATGACAAACGCAGCTTTCTTACGCTTGATTTCATACCCTGGCTACATAAATAAACAGAGAGACGCAAACCACTTGAGGAGTGGAAAGTATTTTTCTTTAGCAAAGGCTGACCATCAATCAACAAAGACCTTTCAAGTTCCTCGTTGCTTGTCTCTCATTTCCAGACAGGGAAGCAGGAAAATAATGTCCTGTGGGATTGTAGAGTCACACTGTTGAGGTGTTGATGTTTAGGGTTTCCTAGGATATACAGACCTATGGAAAAAATGACTAACCAAAATGCAGCAGATAAGCTATTCTGTGTGCATTCAGAAAGGCAACATGTTTGCCCTGTATTACTGCTCTTTCTTCATCACTTGAAAACAGACTCTGGCTCAAGTTTCTGAGAAGGAAGATAACCAGTCTAAAAAAAAAAAAAAAAAAAACAAACCACAAAATGACCTTATGTGGTCATACAACAATAAACTATGACATGAATGCACTTCCCTGTCTTGTTTCTTTTGAGTGCGTGTGTGTTTAGCATTCCTCATCTTGTACAGTCCTTTTTTTTTTTTTAAAAGTTGAGAGGACCTGCGTCTTTGGGACCGAAAGCCAAAGCTTCATGTATAAAGGAAGTGTTTGTTTTTGGGGTCAGGAGTTAGGTTAGATTTAGGGTTAGGCAATGTACTGATAATGGTTAGCTGTAGGTCATGGTTAGGTTATAGAAATTGATTTTAAAAATGAACAAAAGTAAATGCAAAGTTTTTGTGAAGATGCATTGCCTGGACAAAAAAAGGTGAAAGTTCTCTCTACATAAAATAAATAGTTTTGCAACTGGTTACACGGTTTTTTGTTTCAACGCTGTAATTAGCAAGCAGATTGCACAAAATACTTTAAATGCAGACAAAAGTGCAGCCTTCTAGTTCAGGAGATCAACTTGAACTTGTCCTCTCTTAAAGTAGGGATTAATCTAGTGCCTTTCAATATACCCCTTGGCCTAAATGTTATCATTACATTACGTTTTGCCCCGACAACCAAAATCTTTATTGCTACAGACTTATACGAAATGTGGTACGCATGTCAGGCATTCTGGCATCCAAAATACAATTCAGTGCAACCAGCTGCCTCTAGATATAACAGAGGCAGCTCCACCATCTTTAAAGTTGATGGAGCTCTAAAACGCCCTATCAGCTTTTCTCGTTAAAAAAACTTAAGCTTGGGTGATTTAAGCCCTTACTTAAATCACCAGGGTCACTAATATCGAGAATGTGATGTTGAAAGTAGATATCACTTGTGTGATTTCTTTAAAAGTATATTAATAACATCTAATATGAAGACTTCAGAAGTTTGTTAAAAAACAGAAGGATGCAGACCAAGGACCACACCAGAGAGGTCAGAGTTAAAATTGCAGAGAAACAAGGGTTAGGCTATAAAGCAAGATCCCAAACAACATTCAAAGGCTCATTGTCCAGTCCAACATCTAAAAATTAGAAGAGATAGCCACAATTGCAAAGCTACACATCACCTTCTACCGAAGCTGGCAGGCCAGGCAAAAAGAGCATTAATAAGAGAATCAGCAAAGCGGCCCATGGTGATTCCCGAAAAACTTCAGTGATTGACTGAATCTCCAGCTCAGGTGGAAAAGAATGTAATAACGTTTTGCCGTACACGCCACAAATCTTATTTTATTTAGGGGTGATGCCATTTTTGAAACAAAGTTATAAAATGTTTTTTTTCTAGCAGGCTGCTACAAGCCCTGTAGCAGATATGACAAACGTGGACGTGGTCAGATGATCTGGTCAAAGGATCTCAACTAGGTGGAAAATGCTGAGTATGGCCTGAAAACAAACATCCACCCTTAACACACTATTCCCAAAGGAAAGCATGTGGGCAGTACTTTCATGTTCTCTTTAACATAGAGAAGCTGGTCAGGGTAGGCAGGAAGATGGATGAAGCTAAATGCAGAACAATCCTGTTAAGACTCCAAAAGACTTAAGACTGGCGTGGAGGTTCACCTTCCAGAAGAACAACACAAAGCACACAGCCCAGCCGATTTCCGTAATTTTGGGAGATCGGTGACCAACCGATACTTGTACGTGAAGCCGATCTTATACCCCCATCTTATTTACATCAGCAAAGGTCTAAACATC